TCTCGTAATCTAAGCTCTATGTACGATATTTACTTGTATGTGTTGCCACCAGTTAGCTGCGGAATTTGCACAGAATAAATCACGAATACCAAGTGGAAATGCATGAGACAAAATTCTGTTGATTTTCAATTTTCAATTTACGATTTTCGTTTTTCGTTGTTAAAAAAAAACGCTTCTAAATGTAGCCAAGTTGATGCAATATGAAGTCAAGGCAAACGATCGAGATGCTGCTTCGCTTGTCCTGCCGATGGGCTAATGCTAGACTTTTTCTGCTTACAGGCGATCGCCAGCTAATGCAATCCCTAGTCTTTGATGCGCGCGTCACCAAATGGTTCTCGAACAGCACCAGCTTCAATGCTCGCGACAAGGAGGAGAAGAGGTAAGTGGCAGTGGGATGCTGTTCGATGACAGACTTGACTTGTTTCTCACACATCGAGTACAGTCAAAACAGCGCCATGCTCCCCCCTCCCCCATGGTGGGGAGAGAAGGGCGCGCACTCTATATTATCCTCCAACCAGCTAAAGGCAGCACATATTAACCATTATAATTTCTGTGTACGCCTTTCTTTTTTCTCACTTTGATTTGCATTTTATGGCGTGTGTGTGTGTGTGCGTGTATCGTTGTTCTTGTTATTGTCTCGTTTGTCTATTTCATAATGAATTTTTTGCACCCACAACTGAATACTGCAATCTATGAAAACTCTTGAACTCTTGTACCACAACATAACATAATGCCTTTCATAATGTCTAAATCGAAAATACAATACAAAATACCCAATCTAGCGTTAGCGCATCAAGCCCAATAGCCGTTCTAATGGGTTTGCTGCCAAGGTAAACACTCGTCTATACTATAAATATGTATATATGCATATATATAAACACTTCTATATATATTTATATATGTATATCGTACAATCATGTTGTTATTGTCGTCGACCTGCTATGGAACCATTTCTAATATCTCGATTTCTGTTCCAACAGACACGAATTCAAGCAGCGCTTTGGCATCACCGTCGCCTTTCTGGCCACGCACAGTGGTYTGACCCGSTGGCACGAGTTCCACTCGAACATGGCCGAGCAGCCGAGCGCAGGGTGAGTGCTGTGCTGATAATACTACAGTAGAATTCTACAGAAGTACCTCGATACATATGCCACGCCTTTGTTTTGCTTTGCTTTTTTTTTGCAGTGAGAGCTTCAGTCAGAACAATAAACGCGCTATCGATGAGATCTGGTATAAGCGCGCCGTGGACCAATATTTTGTGCACAAGGAGAGTTTTGTCTACTCGGTGCCCTTCGATGCTGGTGGTAAGTCTGTCAATCTTAACATCTCTAAGGTCTGTTAACCAAATCTCTGTAACTCTTAGAAAGTGGCTCGGAAATCATTGTAACTGCCAGCAATGCCATTTTTCACNGAGAGCTCAAAGTCGGCGCCCGCTGCAGTCGTTGGATTTCAATTTCAACACTCTGCATTCTACAAGCTATTCCACAATATCACCGGCAATGTAAGTGCTCCGCAATATAGAAATATTTATAGGGATATACCCAAAATCCATTCTCCCTAGGCATGCGCTGTCGATGATAAGGACTGCTACATACTCGATAACAATGGCTTTGTGATCATCTCGTCGCGCGTTCACGAAACGGGCAGATTTTTTGGTGAAGTCAACGGCGCCATCATGATGCGCCTTGTCGAGGAGAGAGTATACAAGCGTGTCATTGTCTACGATTATCAAGCCGTGTGCTTTGAGTCTAAAACTGAGATCAATGCATCCAATACACTGCTGTCTGTAAGTAAACGCACTCGTACGAAATCGATTGAATTAGGCTCCTTTGCATTGTACCTAACAACACGTCAATTTATTCTCCTGTTAAAGTTCACTCTCAGCTAAGTGTGTATATTGACCAACACTGCAAAGTAGTGTGAAGAAACATTTTAAAAATATTGACAATTAATTGAGTCAATTTCACTTTCAATTTCAATTCATGCTTGCATTTTCAATCTACTCTTGATGTTTATTTATTGAAGCATTTTCTTTCAAAATCAAAATCTTCGTTAACCAGTCCTTTAATTATTTCTTCAACTTGAGCTTTAGGGCATTGTGGAAACGCTTATTACCCTCCTAAGGAAGCCATACCTTAGAAAAGCCAGTTTTTAATTTATTTTAATTATTTCCTAGAAAATTTGAAACTTTTCCAAAAATTATTTAAATTTAAATTTTCGCTTGAAAATATATTCAGAAAAAAATGAGAAAGAAACAAAAATATCAGTTTATGTTTAGCCCGGGCTTTTAAGTTTGCCAACTTATGCTATAGGTAAAACAAAATTATGTTCATAAGACAACAATATAAAACACATAAAATTGTTATATTAAAAAAAATGTTTTTAAATATATGAACCTAATAGCTGCCTGAAACAATCTGAAACTCAAACTGATCAAATGAGCTTTTGCGTCTGTAAATCTTTGCTATACAAAATTTATTACAAATTAAACTTATAACAATTTGCCAAGCATCAGCTCCTGCTTATTGCTTAAAAATAAATCGAATTGAAAGATCTAAAGACCCGCTTCAGACTTTGCTAAGCTTTTAAAATTCTTAAGCGCACATGACAATATTATATAACATATATAAAATATAGTTGAATAACAAATAATATTATTCCTATAATAATAATCGCAATTTCGTTCACTTCAGCCGCTGTTTCATCTGCTGCGCGTAGGCAAATGGCTGCTGCATACGGCGCTGTGGTATATTGTGCAACTGATGCGATTGGCGCCGGGCATATCGGCCCATTACAATGACGTCTATATGGATGCGAATGGCACCGAGCAGGAGCCCGAAGATCACGGCCAGACCAAGAATGCCGCCTGGCTGCGGCATTTGACGCTGCGACGCACGCGCCTCAAGTCGTGCGACATGCAGCGCGAGCTCTACACGCTCTACAATGAGAAGGACAACGTTGTCTACAATATGACAGCGCATGCATGCGAGCGGCCATTTGTGGTGCTGCCCATACCCAATAGCAATCTCATATTGCTCGTGATCGATCAGCTCTGTCCGCGCGACGT